AACTGTGGGGTAGCAAATGATCTTTTCTTTACCAAGAAAACTACCACCTATAACAGGCTGGTTCCCTTCCTTTTTGTTTTCTCTCCCCACTCCCTACCCAGTATGTCCAACAAGTAGCATCATGAAGTTCCAAGGAGAAGGCCTGCTTAGATTGTACTTTGGGGTAAAAGTTATCCTAGGAATTATCACAGAAAGGTAAGACTAGAAGGGATCTCGCAAGGTCATCCAGTTCAGTCCCCTACTGAAGGCAGGATAATCCCTGACTAAACCAGCCCTGCCAGGTATCCAGCCTGCTCTTGAAAATGTCCAGAAATTGAGATTCCAAAACTTCTCTAGGTAGCCTGTTCCAATGCTTGACCACCCTCATGGACAGACAGCTCCTCTTAATCTCCAGCCTAAGTTCCCTGTTACAGCTTTCAGTCCATTGTCCCATGTCCTGTCCCTTATAGCCACACAGAAAAGCCCACCTCTCTCTATAACTACCCTTCAGATATCTGAAGACGTGTTATCAAGTGTCCCGTTCTCCCCCCCGCCCCAGTCTTCTCTTCTTCACATTAAATAACTCTAGTTCTTTAGAGGCAAATTCCTTCAAAGCATATTAATCACCACCATTTGCAAGAATAGCTTATTGATTTCTGCCATTACTGCACACTCTCATGAAATACAGGTGCATTTCAGGTGCCTTGCAGATGGAGCAAAGCCAGATTTGCATGGTATAAAATGGCTTATGCACATGCATTGCAGTTGCTAGCTGTTGGCCCCTCGCTAGTTTGGATGTTGATCCTTCCATTTACATTCCAGCAAAACTGCATTAGATTTAAACAGTGGGGGCCAGATACAAAGGAAGAAATCATTAACAGGGAATAATTGAAACCACCACTACTTCGAAATGTTAAGAGCTTAATGTCTCCTGAAATACCAGAAACCAAGCTACCTTTGTCCTGGGCTAGGACGTAATAAATGTGAACAAACATGTAAAGTTGCCTTGATTTCAAAGCAGTTAAAATCTTGTCACGTGTCTTCTCTGGGAACTCCTGTTCTTGTGCACCGTCCTTGTGTCCTACTGTATGAATAGCTTGCTGCTGTTCAGAGCTTTGAACTTGTTGCTTAATACATTATTCCATAAAGCGTGCAGGAGGTAATTTGTTCTGCTCCTGTAATTCGGTGACCAGAAAAGGCTGAGGAAAATTGATTGACAAAACTTCAGAAAAATTAATAACATCTATAACAGCCCTTTAGCTGAATTAAAACTCTTTGAATTAAATTCTTTCTTCATACATATTAGGAGGAGGAAGAAATTTTACAGCATGCCAACTTTCAGGTTACAGAAGCAGCGTGTCTTGTTTTGGGAATCTACACTTCTGGCAACAAATTGTGTAGGAGAAGTTAAATATGAAAAGAGGATTACCATTTTTAAGCTCTAATTTGAAGGATAAACTATCATAAAAGGCAAAGAAATAAAGCCATTTTGTTACCTATTTTGGGACAGTACTGTAACAGATGTTCAAATAGGCTGCCACTTCACATGCACATGCTCAATCTCCTCCAGGAAGAAATGGATTTGCAGTGTGTTCTATTTTTAAAAAGACCTAATTGGCAACTAAGAGCTATGTGAAATTAATGGGAGGGGGGTGGGGGGTTGTCCAGTTTCTGGTGATTCTGTATTTCAAACAAGGTTTAACAAGTTCTTATGTACAAGAGAAGATCTAGATGAGTGGATCTCAACCTTTCTAGATCCAACACACCCCTCATTAGACTCGATGCACTCCTTGGAAAATGCCAGCTCTTAGTTTTCACTTGTCTTTTGACCTAAGAAAAAATAATACAGCCTTCTTTTCTGTTGCAAAGAACTCAGAAAGATCAGAATGTTTTTACCACTATGGATTCCTATTTGAAACCTCTAGGTTTATCTTGTAAAACATGTTGGCAAACCTAACAATGCTGAAGCACCCTTGAAAGACTCAAAGCATCCCAGGATGCTGTGGCACCCTGGTTGAGACTCATTGATCTCGATAGGTAAAAGTAGGCTTTTTTGTGAGGAGACTGATTACTGAATGAGAAAATATATGATCGACAAACAGATATATGCAGACAGTACTTAATGCAAGTCTTTGGATCTGCCAAAGAAAGTAGAAACCTTATCTTAAACTACAGACTTTACAATGTTTATATTCAAGCAGCTTGCTTATAGCCTCGGGAGCATTAGCTACACCCGTTGAAAATGAAAATAAGAATGCCAAATCTGATTATCTAGTATAAGTCTCCTTAACTTGAAAACCACCTTTCAGGAATTTAATTTTTCAAGTCCCACAATTTGAGAGATCCAGAATTCTTTACCAGTCAAAGTAGAAAAATCAGTTGTTACAAGGTTCTGGAATTATATTTGGTAGCCTAATGATTATTCTGGCTGCAGAAAACACTCAGACTGTCATCTTCTAAATCTTATTTAAAAGTCATATATGACATGGAAATACATGAGATATTACTTTCCGGGGGTACCATCTGTCATCTGTATAAGTATTAAAAAGGATAACATGTAAGGTTTAGCAGAATGTATGTACAATTGACAAATGTAGTTAGCACAATTGAAAGTTATGGGTGTCATGCTATTGCTTTTTAATAGCCCCAAAATTTATGTGATTTCAGAAAATTGTATATGCAAAATGAAGACTTTTCCATGAGGATCCTACTTGGAGAATTAGTTGAAGAGAGTGCTGAGAGAACAAATTACAAAAGCTTACCTGTGTTTCATTATCTGTATGTTAAAGTGTACAGCCTTATTCCTGTAGTATCTCTCTATGAAAAAATGAAATATTTAGGACAGATGGGTTTAGTTCATCCAAATCTGAGAAAGTATGTCATTAGCGGGTTGCTTCAGATGTAATGACTAACCGTGGAATGGTAAATATTTTTCCACTGGTTGCAGGTATTCATAGGACTATTTTTAGATATCTCTCTTAGTACTGGTTTTGTTTGTTTGTTTTTAATAACATTTTAGAGAACCTCTTGCTTTTTACAGTCACCTCTTTGGATATTTTGGTGTTGCTGTTTTTGTTTTGTCATAGCTGTCTAATTGCCTGTGAATTATTGTGTCATAACTTCCTGTTTAAGGTAACTGCATTTTACTCTAAGGGCTGTACCACCACTCCCAAATACCAACCCTGAGTAGCAAGGGTCCATAAAAGGAGCTCTGTGAGAGTCTAAGAGGAGGAGAAAATTCTTCTCCCTTGTCCCAGAAGGTAGTGGAAGCACGAGTAGCAGGGCCAGTCACCATCACATTCTGACATCCTGCCTCCATCTGCATTATCTCTGGGACTGTTTGTAACCAGCGGGGTGAAGCAGGATTTGTTCCATTAAGACCACTCATTCCATTTTCAAGTTATGGCAACATATTGGGAATAATCAATTTTAAAAAGTTCTCCTTGGTCACCTTGTTTACTGATTAAGCTGATCCTTTTTATGTTCCTGTGTGAACTGGTGTGACCAGCTGTGATAGTCATCAAAATGAGCACTTTGTCATGCTTGAGATTTTCTGCAGAGTCCTAAAATGACAGGCATGTATGAATCTATGGAGCCAGTACCGGTTTCAATTCAGTTATTCAACTATTTTCCCCTCCCTCTGACTAGAAGTTTTTCTGAAAGGATTTTGAAAAGTTATAGAAAGAGGCTTTCAAGTTATCTTATTTCATTCTTTCACTATACAGATGCGATTATTCTAGTAAAGTTTGATCCAGACACACGGGCAAATGAAAGAAACGGGGATGAATTTAACCGGTAGGCTGAGGATTGGACACAGAAGAGGGGCATGTTATTCCCAGCACTTTTCATATACCAGGCATTTAAGTGGGTACAGTGTCAGAATACAGAACTCCCACTGTGTAATCCACATGTCAGGATAGATCCTTCCACCTTCTCCTGCAGTTCAGGTCACTTCTGAAATGTCTCCCTCTCACCCTGTTCGCCCAGTAAATGGAACCTTGGAAGCACAAGGTCCATTGTGAAATCCTGAATGTGACTTTTAGGAATGGACCCTTTAACCTTTGTCCACACTAGCAACAAATTACATGTTCCTGTGTTCTCCAAGCAGATTTCTCATTCCTGTTTCTTTTTAACATGCCTGCATCTCACCAATTCTGCAAGAAAAATGAAAAACCTCACAAACACGAGGCCAACAGGGAGCCTGTTCCTTGTCGATTCCACCAAGTTGGTAGGCAGGGTAGCCCAAATGAGGTAAAACAGCCCCTGAAAATCCCAGGGAAACCTTGAACTGGGGACAGAGTGTGCAGATGAGTTGAGTCAACTGTTGCCACTGGCTTCTTCAAGGCAAGAAGCAAAACCCTTTTTTCTTTCATTTGCATGTATTCTTTATCTGCCCAAATATGCTTTCCTCTCTGACTAGTGCCTTCACACTTACTTAGATTGGGGGGTGGGGATTTAGGGTTCACTGCTGCCAGTCCCTTCTAACATTCCCTCCACTGAGCTACACCAGGCATTTTAGATTTTGCGCTGTGAATTGTCACAATCTTGCTGATCTTCTGTCCAATTATAATAAATACACAATATGTCTATAAAAATCCATGCACTAAGGAGTGTTTATCATGTTTACAAAAGTGTGTTGGTAGAATCAGTTTCCACATATCATGCAGCATTCCCTTGGTAAAATATTTAAATTATTGCTTTTATCTCTGGTTTAAAATTCACTGTCTTTTGTACAGCATGCTCCAAAGGCTGGTGGTTAGTATCCTGGAGTTTGGGAGATCCACATTCATGTCCCTTCTCTGACTTGATTTTCATTCCAGTTTATCCCAGGCAGATTAGAAATTTGAACCTGAATCACTCGCAGGCTAGTACTTTTACCAGAGTGTTGTAGAGTGTTGAGACTCTTTCTCTGCATACCTCAGATCCAACAATTGTCCCAACGAAAGTGTTGTAGAAACTGAATATTTCAACCAGTTTTGTTTTTAATGAATACAAATTTTGCATTATTTTTTTCCCTGTAGCTATGATACTTGCTGGAAGAGCATATTATGATGGCCTTGCAAAGATTGGAGATATAGCAACTGAATCTCCTGTTTCTAAAGAATTAGGTAAGTAAAACTGTAAATCATATTTTATTAAATTTCAGCATAAGGTGCTTCTAATTTTTGCTTTTCAGATGATTAGTCACAAAACTAATTAGACGTTCACAGAAAAGGGGTGGGCTGAAAAGAGTCCTGGGGCTGACTGTGTGCTACGTGAACCCCTCAGCAAACTCTATTATGCTGAAGGAAAATTTTTAGATGATTGCCCTGCACAGGATGGAGTATTTCATACCATTAGCTTTGATATACAATAAGTTCAGCACACATTCTCAAAATCTTACTGGTGAGGCTTACAATAAGGCTCTGAAGAACAAAATGTGTTTTTTAGAATCACCAGATTTTTACTAAGTGTCAATTTCAGTTTGGGGGTAACCTCCCATCTCCACCTCCTGGGCTTCACACATCCATTTCAGATTTCATAAATTAAACACTTCTGCTTTTCACGGTACATATCAGTAGCATAAGTATGCACTTAAATTTGCTACCTCTCTCCTTCCTTTTAAATAGGAAATAAAAAATTATATTCCTTATTTGTTCACTCTTGCTGTCTGGAAGCACAGGCACTCTTGAAACAGAGCTTCTTGTTAAAAATTATTTTTTGGTAGGGCTGTCTCTAGGAGGTCAGTGGGGTGACCAAATCCCAGGAGTTTATAAAATATGATTCGCAGAGAATTCATGGGATCATCCATGCAAAAATGTGTTTTCCTTGCAAGGTGGCTTCTAGCTGTTCTACTTTGTCTGATGGGATATTTTATATAGGAGCAACTAGGTAATTAAAGAAACAACTGAAAAATGTTTAGAAGCAGGAGGAGTTGAGTCAGAGAGAGCAGAGAATTCAAATATTGCCAAGAAGTAAAAAGGAACTAATTTCCCAACCAGTAAATTGAAAGCAGTTCATTGAAATACCTGAGTGTCCACAGCATGCAGAACAGTCCTGGACCAGGCCAGTGGGTTGGGCTTCTTGTGCAGAGCAGATTCCAAATGGGCTGGGATGGGCGTCATGTGCAGCATGAGTCCCACAGTGGGCACCACATGTAGGGATCATGAGCTGCCTGAAGCAGGCACTGCATGTGATGCACATCCTGAGCCCTGCACTTGGGGCCACTCCATAAACGTGGGTCAACTCAGACCAAAGGGACTGGATGAGTGGGTCCACAGGACCGATATGGCCTGAGGGTTGGATCTTTGATATCCTTGCTGTATATAAATGAAAAATATTATATTTCATTTTCATTTCAGATACAAAAGTTAAGAAATTTTAGGAAATAAATGATTGGGATAATGTATATTAGCATATGTTGTTTAATTGCAACATTTCATACCATCATATAGCTGGAAATTTAATCCCCATATTAAAATTTACATTAGAAATTTCAGTTACATTCTTCAGTAAGGTTATTCAGTTTGTACAAGAGGATTAACTATACTCTATTTAAAGGTCAGTCTTTTGAAAGAGTAACATCAAACTTTCAAAGAAGGATTAAAATCTGTGACAGTACTCTGTAACAATATACAAGTAAATTAAGTTTCCTAACTCCCTGTTACTTCAGGCACATTTTCAAACAACCTGATGTTTTAGAACCATACCCTGTCTATTTTCCCTTTAGGAAGCAGTGAAGTTATAACATTCAATCTACAAAAACACAGCTGTTGTGGAAATATCTGGGGTTGTGTCTTCAATAAGAAGTATGACATCACTGCAGAATTCAGCAAAAAGAAACTAGTTTGTTGGGGGGGATCCCTCAGTTACTTTGTCAAGTTTTCTGTTCTTTTATACATTTAATAGTATCTCTTGTTTCAACTATACTGTAATGAAAGCCTTTCCCTAAATTACTACATATTAAAACAGAGTGAGAGGTAATAATTTTTTTTTCTCCTTAATATCTGTGGAAAAAAATGGCAAGAGTTAAGTTATTCTGGGGGATTGGATTTTTTGTGCCTGCCTGTCTTTTCATGACTTATTCTAACGCTGCCATTGTGTGCGACTTTTCACATTTTGCTAACAAATGGTGGGAGTGGTACAACAGCAAACAGCATAAAGCAAAGTATAGTTCATAACAATCATTCTCTTTCTTTCCTTTCCAAGTAACTTACATAAAGTATACTTTCTATTTTGGGCTATAGACCATAACAAGAATTCAATATTGTATAAATCCTTTGCAGTTGTATAAAAATAAATGGAGAAATTATAGTTACTAGTAACAAAACTTAGTTCTGCCTTTTTGCTTTTCTGTGCCTTTGCTAACCAGTTCTTTGACCTTCAAAGAATTGGTCAAAAGGCACAGAAACTTTATATTTACAGAAAGACATGTAGCTGGAGGCTTGCCCTCTTTTCTAAGTTATGTCGCTGGGTAATCTGGAGCTAACTACTAAAAATAACTCTGTTTATTGCCCTTTCTTTAGTAGAGGAAAGTCGTGCCCCTCCCTGCCCCCCCTCACCTCCCCTCAAAAAAGCTTAGTTTGGGCTAGCCTCACTGACAATGTTCGTTACTCCATTCATTAATCTTTCCACCCAGTAATTATGAAATGTCCTGAAAATAGATTTTTTTAAATGTGCATTCTAGCCTTCATTAGGATCAAAGCCTTAATGCTACACTTCACTCTACGTTATGCTGAGGCTGTTGCTGTAGAATTTATTTTTTCATTGAGAAAGTCTTGGATTTCTTCCAGGTTGGTCTGTGATAAAGTACTTCGTGTAGAAGTACAAAAGGTCAGAGAACACTGGAAGAAACACTGTCATATTTTTAGGAGCCTGTGAAAAACCGTTCTTACATTTTTAAAGAGGCTGTCTAAACAGCAGTGAAGCAGCTCTCAAGCCATTAGAGGCAAAGGCATATACTTTTAAAGTTAAGAGGTCCTTGTGCTTTATCTTGGTTTAAATGCTAAGTCTCTCTGTGACTCTTACTCTTGCTGAGCTAAGTCAGCAACACTTATGTACATTCTGTGACTTCACTGGTATTAATCTTGGGCCAGACTCACCTTAGTGTAACAGAGAGAACTGTATGTCTTAAGTGAGTTTCCTTGTAGATTTGCCAATAGGCCCTATTCTTGACCGGCAGCAACCTGACCAGATCTTCTGTTACCTTCCCCAGCAAGAGAAGGTCATGTCAGTTTTAATCAGCTGTGATCCTATACAGAGTGTGTGTGTGTGGTGGTAGGGGGTTGAGGGTCATGTACTAATTTTCCACAATGTATTTCAGTTGATTTTTGGTGCTTTATTTTTATATTAGGAACCCAGCGTGACTCTTTTCCATACGTGAGTGCCTTCACTAGTATGCTAGTCATGCTGTCTACTGAACTCTCCTGTAGGATCCATGAATCATGCATTCCTTTCTATACAGCACCACAGTTTCAACAGATAGGGTGGGGATTGACCCCTCCCCCCCACCCACTCTGTGGCTTTGTGGTTAGGGCACTCTCCCAAGAAGTAGATGTGGGTTGAGCTTTCTCAGGTGATGGGGGCCTGCAATCCAGGTGTTCCACTTCTGAGCAAATACTCTAACCAGTCAGCTGTTACATCAGAGGCAAACAGCATTCCCACCACTATGGACTGCATCTTAGAAATGAAGCAGCTATGGGTGAAATTTGTGAGGAACCCAATCTTGTCAGTGTGGGTTAGTGGGCTCTGTGCATGCAGACAGGACTGGGCCACCTGAAATCCAGAAATTACACCTAAGTTCATTTAGGGCTTAGGAAGGAGATGGGCACCTAACCTCAGGCTAAGCACTTCTGCACATACACAGAAGCATAACTGCCAGCCCCTGGGAGACTTCCAAGCCCAACAGAGAGGCACCTTGGCAGTGTAGGTGTTTCTGGGCATAAGCAGCCACTGAATAGGAGTTTTTTGGATCTCCACTCTGGATTTAGGTAGACTTAGGTGCCTAAATCTTATTTTATAAGCACCTAACTTTTTGGATCTGCCCCCCATTCACCTAAAATCTTGGTCAAAGTTTCTCAAATCTGTCATTAATCTCCCAATAATATACTTTCAAGATCTCAAGTTGTTCAAAGATGAAGTTGTAGACCTAGTGCCAACCATATGTGTAAATATTTATTTACTAAGCGGGGGGGGGGGTACGGAGTGTGCAATACGAGGATTACAGAAAAGGAAGTAAGATCATCCATTCCTCCCCACCCCTTCTTGCAACCTGTGGAATATCAGAAG